ACTACCTGGATTTCTGCATAAGTTGGTCATAAAATGTGTTCTGATCTTCATCTAAGTCACAACAATGGACAAACACAGTCTGCTTAAGCTAAAACCACACAAACAATTATATGTTTTTATTGAACACACCATGTAAACATTCACAGTGCAGGATGGAGAAAAGTGAACCCTTGGATTTAATAACTGGTTGACCCTCCTTTGGCAGCAATAACCTCAACCAAACGTTTCCTATAGTTGCATATCAGACCTGCACAACGGTCAGGAGGAATTTTGGACCATTCCTCTTTACAAAACTGTTTCAGCTCAGCAATATTCTTGGGATGTCTGGTGTGAATCGCTCTCTTGAGGTCATGCCACAGCATCTCAATTGGGTTGAGGTCAGGACTCTGACTGGGCCACTCCAGAAGGCGTATTTTCTTCTGTTGAAGCCATTCTGTTGTTGATTTACTTCTGTGCTTTGGATCGTTGTCCTGTTGCATCACCCATCTTCTGTTGAGCTTCAATTGGTGGACAGATGGCCTTAAGTTCTCCAGCAAAATGTCTTGATAAACTTGAGAATTCATTTTTCCGTCGATGATGGCAATCTGTCCAGGCCCTGAGGCAGCAAAGCAGCCCCAAACCATGATGCTCCCTCCACCATACTTCACAGTTGGGATGAGGTTTTGATGTTGGTGTGCTGTGCCTTTTTTTCTCCACACATAGCGTTGTGTGTTCCTTCCAAACAACTCAACTTTGGTTTCATCTGTCCACAGAATATTTTGCCAGTAGTGCTGTGGAACATCCAGGTGCTCTTTTGCTAACTTCAAACGTGCAGCAATGTTTTTTCTGGACAGCAGTGGCCTCCATTTTATGACCAATTTATGCAGAAATCCAGGTAATTCCAAAGGGTTCACATACTTTTTCTTGCAACTGTATATACAGTCTATGGTTAGGACTCGGAGAGGGGCTTGTCTGCAGATGTCTGATCTATGTCCAATAAACTCTGAAACCTTAGGATTTTTACCAAGCTTCAAGAGAGGTGGGATATGTTTTCAAGGCTGTTATTGCCATGTTTGCATACAGTGTTGTTATGACAATGAACATCTTAGGTCACAGTTTCCTCCAACAGTGCAACACAATAAAACAGTTTAAATAGTATGAGTAAATAAAATAAGTATATCCTTTCTATATACATTTGAAAGTGGAATACACACATATATGTATTTATTCCTGTATTTATTTCCATATATTATTTATTCCTGTATTTATTCCTGTATTAATTCTGTATTTATTCTGTATTTATGCATTTATTTATTTGTTACTTATTTCATGTTCTGCCCTCCATATAAAACGTGTTAGGTTTCTGAAATTATTAAAGACATATACATCATAAAAATCATAACAAACTGACAACAGTTGAATATAGTAGTGAAAGGTATATTATGATAGCCTCCGGAAACCGTACCATGGAAGGGGATGTAGCTCAGTGGTAGAGCGCATGCTTTGCATGTATGAGGCCCCGGGTTCAATCCCCGGCATCTCCAGGAAATCTTTTATTTTTTGTACCAATGAAATTTTTGTTCACATGGACGATTAAAGACTAATCAACTGAATTAAAGAAAACATTTCACTTTTTTCCGAAAAAATATCGCTATACCATTGTGACGGAGATCACATCTTTGGAAACAAGAAGTCTATAAAAAGCCTTATAAATGCCGGTTAATCATATCTCGCTCACACATAGATGTAAGTGTTGAATCTACGTACATATATTGTTGACTCGTTATTATACCTTGTAAACTATTTATTAAAACAATCACAAACTGTTCTTGAATAAAATACATGTGTCGAAACGGTCGAAACAGAGAGCATCTGACATTTTCCACCGCGACAAACGCACCATAGGCCCCGCCCTCCCGCACCAACGGTAACTAAGGAGATCTGAGTTCTGTTTACTAGAAAGATGTCTTCTATGCTAGCTGCTATCTCGAAGTTGGTCAAAATAATGACCGTAAATGTAAAATAATTGGAACTCTTTACTTATTCCTCATAACGTTCTTCCCTGTACAAGGTCCCAAAGACTTCCGAAAATGCAACTGAGGCATCTTAAAACACTGTTAACACCCCAGGTAAGTCCAGTGACTAGTTAGCTTTATGCTAGCTGGTGCTGGAGAGCAGCATCAGTTATGTATGATTGTGTAACGTTAATGATCTTATAATAACACCACTTAATAGCTCTAACAAAACACTAATTTCCTATTATCAATTTGGCATGTACGTGGTTTTACTGACCAAGATGTAGTATTTACAGATTTGTATTAGTTACCTTACTTTGCTTGCTAGCAACTGCGGTGCTTTACTGTATTTGGTTGGAAAACGTGCTGCTAATCAATGTTATTACATTTACTCTGACTATAATCGTTCTCATTTTGACTTTGTCTTACAACTTATTTCCTTGTATTGTGTTTATGTCTGCAGCACAGTGCACCAAAGCAAACTACTTGAATGTGTAATCGTACCTGGCAATAAACTCGATTCTGATTCTGATAACGGGTTGTGTGTCCGGTTGTGATTAGCTACAACTAGCTAATGAAAGATGCTCTGTTAATGAACTCCTCTGACTTTGTTCATCTGCCTTTCTTCACAGGACAGTGCTGCCAAAGTGACATGCATGGCCTGGGCTCCCAATAACACCAAGTTCGCTGTGTGCACCGTGGACCGGGTGGTGTTGATCTATGATGAGCAGGGGGAGAGGAGGGACAAGTTCTCCACCAAACCCCTGGACTCCAAGGTGAGACAGAGGGACAGCTGGCTTAATGATGATGGAAACATAAAGGAACACTGATTATATCAGTTTAAACCCCTAGAAATGAAGCTAAACACACAGAAAACCAAACCCAACACACAGCACAACAACAACAAAAATGCAAAAGAAAAAAAATAACAAGGTTTTGCTGTTAGCACATTTTTAAATTCCTTTAAAATCCTGTTCATGGTAACGCTAAGTTTTTATTTATTTTATTAATATGCAAGTCTATTCTCATTACTTTATCTGCACTTTACTTCTGCTGTTGTAATAATAAAGGAATTCTGATTCTCAACCAAGAAATCAATCCTAATTATACAAAATATTGTCTTTACTCAGCAATACGACTCTTGTTTTAATTGTATTTTGATTTAATATACAGGTTTTGTGTCAATAATAATCCGATGTATTTGTTCTTTAGTATGGGAAACAGAGCTACGTTGTCAACGACATGGCGTTCTCCCCTGACTCCACCAAAATCGCCATCGGCCAGTCTGACAACATCATCTTCGTGTACAGGATTGGAGAAGATTGGTAACGTTCATTTGACTGTTTTTGACTTTTCTCATATTAATCTGGATTGTGTTATCTACATGGATGCATTCAAACAGGTTTTAATTATCAGTTTTACTTTCTCTCCTAGGGGCGACAAGAAAGCTATTTGCAACAAATTTGTTCAGACGGTAAGTTAACTCATTGTTTTGGGAGGAGGTGTGGTGTAAAAATACATTTTGGATAAAAGTACAGTATGTGTTCTTGTCTTAATCGACATTACTGTTAACAGTTTTTGCAATCATATGTAATAGCTATTAGGCAACAGGTAATGCTTCCATAGTTCCTGCTGTCGATCTAGTGTTCATTCGATATAATGTAATATTTGTATTGTAGATTTTTAAGTAATTGGTTGGGTTCCACGGACTTAGAATTCAGACTTTGATGTTTGTAGCATGTTGGAAAAGCTATCTTTCCTAGTTGGAAGATTGAATTTCACCTCTCTAATGCAACATGTGTCCTCTCTGTGTTGCAGAGCGCGGTGACTTGCTTGCTCTGGCCTGCTGATCAATCGATTGTTTACGGATTAGTGGATGGCAAGGTACATATTAATCATGTATTACAATTTAAAAAAAATGGTACTACTGTTTATTTTATTAAACAGAAGTATCAGAAGGAGAGCAGACACAGCAGTAGTGTGCGTTGTTTAGTATGTGTTGCTCAATATCAGCATTTTAAAGTGGGTGAAATGATTAATGAAATAATGTATGTTAAAAAAATATGAATATATATGTTTTTTTTCACAGGTACGCCTCGCCAACACTCAGACAAGCAAGTCATCGACCATCTACGGCACCGAGTCCTGCGTTGTCTCACTAGCATCCAAGTAAATATATATAATATGAATGCACAATTATAACTCACAGATAGTTATTAATTATGGAGGGAAGAACAATTCCCAGTCTTTTCAAAATGTGTGTGTGTGTGTGTGTGTGTGTGTGTGTGTGTGTGTGTGTGTGTGTGTGTGTGTGTGTGTGTGTGTGTGTGTGTGTGTGTGTGTGTGTGTGTGTGTGTGTGTGTGTGTGTGAGAGAGTGAGTGTGTGTGTGTCTG